GGATCGAATCGAAAAGATTGTGCCCACACTATTTTGGTCCAGCCAATATTTAAGGAATGGAATGGTTCGCGCCGACACCATCCTAACATACCTTACCCGACGCCGTTTTTGGTTGAGTGTTGAGAGTGTCTTGCGTGATTGAGCTTTGCCGGCGAGGTATTTCTATTTCTTGACCGCCTAAAATACGACGTTAAAAAAAGAAAAAAAACAAAACAAAATTAAGCAAGACAGAATGTCTTGCTTAATTTTAAATAACTCACTACAATAACAGAATGTGATCGCTTTTAGCCCGAGAAAGACCTCCTGCGCTGAAGATTTGAGCCAACTGTGGCGCCCTCATTTCGGGTAGTACAAACTCACCTGACTGGGCCTCGCAATAGTTCTAGCACCTTCACTGAGATTTTATCTTTCTGTGTAGTTCTGAAGAAACAATGCGGCGAGACAATTGAAAGTGCCGAATTCATGACACCCCCGTTAGGGTACGCGATTTGACGCCAAATATCTAGCGCCCCGACGCTTTTTCGGTTTTTCTTTGGAATGCGTGAAACCGTGTCTCTTGTGAAACGCTCTCAGTGTTTTAGCTTTGACCCGTGCTTCGACGGCGTTAGAATTTGTTTGTGTATTTATTTTGTGATTTCGCAGTCCGCATTACATCAGGCGCGCTACTACATGATGCTAGTCCTGACATAAGAAGTGATAGAGCGCAGGCGAGCTGATAATGAATCGACATTTTGTAGACCCTGAGATCGGTACAATAAACAAAATAACATACGAAGATAACGAAATCTTAAACGCAGCTGAAAGCTATTGATTTGAGCACACCAATAAATGCACTTCCAAACACATGGAGGAAAAAGAGAAATGGAAAGAAGGAACTCAAACGCATAAACATGACGATCAATGAGTTCTACCCAGACAGCATGAGCCACACCCCGCCTCCACACTTTCGGAAAAGAACCGCCACAATACAACCCCATGGTCCCACACACAAGGCCACCCTTCCTGTGCAGCGCAGGAGGCAGTAGAGGGAGATTAGCTGCTTCGTCCACCCATCCCCCCCCCCTCCCCCGACCCCCTTTGACCTCGTCTTCTTTTGTGTCTTCGTGTTGCTGTGAGCCAGTGCGAAGGCCACTTCTAGTGAACCAGACAGGTGGAGCGAAACACGAGACCGCTCTGGACAAAAACGTTTGGACGAAAATTTGTCATGCGACTCACTCTGGCGCGCTGATGGGCTCACTGGAGGGTCATAGCCTTCGCGGTTTGCCAAGTTATGGTAAGTTGCAGGGACCACGTAGGTCCGGTTTCCGAAGAGCGTCCGCCAGTGTTCTGTTTTTCGTGCAAGCAGGTCCTGACGAGTTCCATTTCGCGACCATGATTTTTCCTCGTGAACGGCCGGAATACATACATGCCAACTTTTTCATAATGGCCGTTTATTTCGTCGGAGTCTATGGAATAATTGTGCTATGTTTCTAGGACGCGTTTCGACAAAGAGATGCCCATCGGCGGACGCGAGACTTCCATTGAATGTGATCGACCGCGTTCATCCTCGACATAGTGTTTGCGAATTGTTCTGTGCTGCCCGAATTGGTATTATGCATCTATCACGGATTACATGAGATCGCTCTCTTATTTGTAAGTACTTTGCAAGTATGCTTAACAACATGAACTGCCGCTTGCGTCCCAAGTAACTCCCGGTTGTCTCGGCTTTGCTGGCCTGTCGAGTTTTGCCTACGTCACCAGTACTAGAAAGCATAAATGCTGCACGAAAACTGAAGTTGGGGATTTAACTAGGGGCTTCGGTTGTACAATTTAAAGGGGTCGTGAACTAATATCAGGTAGGAATCTTCATGACCTTGCAAAAGCGTACTGGTCCTAGTCTGGCCCAAGTTTACTCGCACGGACCGCTACTGACCCAAAAGCGTCTTGGTCGTGGTGAAATTGTGAGGATAAAAGGGAGCTATTTCTTTCAGTCTTGCCTTCGCCAAGCTTGATGATGTGCGCATAAACGTAGTTTTGCCCTCTGGCGAGCCTGTAATTGCAGGCACGTGCCCGCACAAGCAGAGACATGGCTGCGGCCAGATGATCTGCTTGCATTCGTCTTTAGAGAATTTTGTAGAGCCTAGTAGAATCTTGATGAAAAAACAAAACGTGAACCAGCCATGTTTTGACTTATTCGCAGTCATTTCTTCGTGTAATCTTTTGGGTTATTACACCCTATCTTATAAGTGTTGGTCATTGCGTTTTTTTTTACTTTCGTTTCTGGCGGTGGTACACCCAATTTAGAGGGCGTAGTGCGCGGTCATAACATCCTAATAAAACGGTGTACTCAGGGGTCACTTCTTCATTTAAGGGTGTTAGGAATAACGCCCTTCTCTTAGGTCGTTTTGCTACACCAAAGAAGGTGTCAGTTATTGGACAGGCCATTTACACCTTGAAGGGTGTAATGATGTTTATTGTGTGGAGTTGGAAAAGGAAACAAAGGCATTTGTGGGTGTGGCTTAGCAGGCTCGTCTATCACTGCCTCTTTTGAAAGCGGTTGGCGACACGCCGTAAGCGACACTCCTCTAAGAGGACACTGCGTCATACTCCGGCGCGGCAAATCTCGGAGGCGCGCGCAGCCTCTTGACACTTGACCACGCGCCTGCGACGTATAAACTTGAGAGCGACCGCCCTGATGCAAAAGAGTTTTGGTGCTACTGAATACTGAATACTGATACCTGGTGGACGGGCGGCAAACCGGAGCGGTCGCTCCAAGCACTGGGATTCTGAGGACGCCGGCCGGGCCATTTTGCGCCTCCTCCTCTGTTACGCAGCCGGGCGCGGGAGGCCAGGGCTTCTTTGTTCCAAATTTTGCGATTTCAGGGCTCTCGCATAGATAGCAGTCCACTGTTATCGAAGTAAATGATCAGCACCTTGAGGGCCCTTTTTTTTTTTTTTGCGCCGTCTCATGTGGGCGGATTATCTGATCTGTTGTGCAGAGAAGGGCTTGTGAGTCATGCCGAAGGCCGCCATTGGCTCTGCGTGATTGTCGTGCAACACCTCCTCGTTCGGTGTGATTCACGAACTCGGGCAGACGGCTGGTGCTCGCCGATTCTCCACAGGTGCCGCAGTCCGGGCCGCCGCTCGCTTGACAGTTGTTGCCCGAGGGGGTGGAATAGCGTTCCTGTATATAGCTACCTACAGTAACAGAGTCGTGCATAGGTCCGCCATCTTGCCCTCAAAAGCATCCAGATGTTTTCAAGGAAAGCCGCACTCGTGTTAGCAGTCGGGTACGCTCGGTGCAGCGCCGATTGTGAGGGCGCGTTCATTCCGCTTCATTTTTGGCAACCACATTACGCTTTTTATGCACGTGTAAATAAATATCCGTGTAAATGCGAGCCTGCACAGCACTCTTGTGTAAATAAACAAATATTCCAAATAAACGCTAATAACAGCGACAGCGGCGCAGTCGTGTTCGGCGTTTCGGCTTCTCTGCAGCGCGTGAATGCTCTTTCTACCTCGTGTATAAGTTCCTCTATAAGCTTTTGTATAAGTTCCTTAGAGTTCCTGTATAAGCTCCCCCTTCGGGGGGAGCATGTACAAGAACTTTAAGGTGTAGGGCTGCGGCCGCTTCCGAATCCGTCCGGGACCGATAATCAGATTTTCAGTGAGCGACGAGTCGATTTCAACTTCCGGCTCCCAAATCCGCTTTCCGCCCGCGCGGATTCGTCCGCCAATACGCAAGTATGTGCGCCATAACGCGTCCGATGAGTGCAGTGGGGACAAAGACAGCTAGCTTTAGGCCTGCCCACAAATCATTCCAACAGAGCTCGACGTTCTGACGGCTCCGCGCGCTCTTGTCTCCCGCAGTTTCTCCGCGCATGAAGAAGATATCTGCCAGGTAAAATCACAGCGTGAAGCGTTAGGCTAAGTGGAGAGCAATACCACGGTGCTCTGGTTCGACATCAAGCAAGAACACTGCTCCTATAGGCGAAGAACCAACGAAAATAACAATGAGATTACAGAAAGTAAATCTAGTTCTGCAAACACACAAACACAGATATATTTTTGCACCCCTTGGGGTCATCATATAATGCACCACACAAATTTCAGTTCGATGTAGTACAGCGCGCTGCCGTTGAACCCATTGCGGTAACAACTTTCCCAAGCGGCGGGATAGCCGAGTTGTACAACTTTTTAAAATAGCTAATGTACGTACGATGGACTGCAAAAAATATAATCGGGGTTTACATAGCCGTACTCAAAATACTCGGTGTTTTTTATTTGTAGTCTTTGATTCGTAGTTTAGCTGTTTAATATGTTACAGCCCACCGTCTTCAAGCCTCTCGTAAAAGTTGGGGCCGTCAGTTTGACGCCAGTGCGCTGCCCTCGAGCTGAAGTTTTGGGATGTTTCAGACGTGACAAAAAATTTAATGGCTACACCTTTTCTTCTTCATTTTAGTGTGTGAACTAACCAGTGATAATGCAGAAATGAAACGCGTTTCTTTTTTTATTTCTATGAGCGTTGTTTGCTTATCGCCATGTAAATATATTTAGTTGAGAAGCCAGTTTTTATGTCACTTCCCACAGATAGATAATAAAACATAAGAAAATGTAGAGGCATAAATAACTGTCCAAGAAGTACTTAGAGCTATCGATTATTTTAACCCCAAAATAGAGCATGTTGGACGCTCTTCATAAAATCTAAATTGTTTCTTAACTGGAAAGAGTTAGACGTCTTAGGCGAGCAAGATCTAGAGAGATTGGGTGATGTATGTAAATGCCATATTTGCTAACGTATTGTCCTTCTGCATGACTCGCAGTTTGAGGCATATAAAGATCAGACATATTACTTAACATTTCTGTATGATTGACAGGGAAGAGAACGTCCACATAAGGCGATCCAAATGTTTAAGGCTTTGGTAGCTAGCATTAAGACGTCATGCTCTTTTTGCCGTCTATAAAAGCAATGCGGAAAAACATGACTTCAACAACTGCCACGAAGACGTCCACAAGTCACCATGAAGAATCAAGCGTTCACGGCTCTTTTTGTAGCAGGTAATGTTTTTGCATCAGTACCGAAGTGTGGAAAAGAACAGTCGATTTATAAGTAATTGGCATGTATATTTGTTTACACCTGACTTTCTTTTGTAAGATTAACGTTATTACTCTGCACAAGAAAAGTGTACGGTCTTAGACAACGTAAGCCGGAATGACCGATTGCCAACAAAAAGAAAAAGAGAACCGGGCCCCGAGACCAAAAGCTTAATTCGCACGAAAAAAAGTACGCAGAGCAGAGTGTGGAGCTATAGTGGGTATGAGAATAGTCACTTTATATGATCCAGGATGCAGTAGATTACCTCCCTTCTGTGTTTTTTGAGACCACGTATTCGCGCTTGGCTACTTGGCACTTGCTTATTATGTCGGCTCCCTGCAACTCAGTCATTAAACTGTGACTTGCATGATCAGTCTGAATCATATATTGCCGCGGATTCACACTCGGCTATAGGCTCGTTCACACGCTGCTTTGACTTTTCCTCTTGAGGCGGGGCCACATTTCTTTCGGTCTTCATCTGGTTTCCAGAGCCCACTTTCAGCAAGGCAGCACACCGACCAAACTAAAAAAATATATTTTAACCTTTTGCATGCTTATGACATTCTGCTTCACCAATGTAAATAACCAATGCGCAAAGTTACAAGTAGTGTTGAAGACGTTACCGAAACAAAAATGGCCGCGACCTTTATCTCTCAAAGTTTTATAATGCTTAAAATGCATAATGGCCAGATATTTGTGACAGGTGGTTCTAGTTCACCTATCTGGCGCCACGTGGCGCATTCAGCCAGCACATTATCGAGTTTTGCGGTTTACTGCAGTCGAATGACAAATCTTTTTTTTTTTTTAATTGTCCACGTTTGACCTTTGTCGTTTCTGAAGAATTGGTGTGAGCTACCTCAGAAATATATTTTTCTATAGATCTAATACACATCTTAGACACACAGATTTTGCCATACTATTAGAGAGGTTAGAGAGGGATCCTATTTAACTTCTACAATAACAAATGTTTGTCCATACCCAAACATAAACTGTACATTTCAATTAACTTGGGAACTATCCGTAGTGGCAATCCATCGAAATGTCCATTCGACTGAGGAAACCGCAGTTTACACGTCATCATCTTCAAATGTCGGTGCTAGAGTAGCGGTACATAATAAAATAGAGTAATAGCATGGCAGATTGTTTAAAGCTTAACGTTTTGGCGTTGGGGCGATATTTGTATATGAAATACACGGCGCTCTACGGGCGCACTGCCCCAACCTGTCGAAAGATGGCGCAGGCATATGATGGTACAAATTTCTGGGGATGCATAGGGAATTGGTGAGAGAATCGTGTGTCACGTGAAGTATATTATCCCGCTAATGGCGGGGAACTAAATGGTTCTATAGGTCACGTGACGTGACGTCACGTGATGTCGATTACCCCCCCCCCCCCCTTCCCCTAAATTTGGCAGTGAAACTGGATTCGCATCAAGTTAACAAGCTGTGAAATTTCCTCTAAATTCAGCGGGTAACTGCACTGATGTATAACTAACATGACAAAAATTTCCCGCTAAATTTACTAGAAAACTGAATGTATCTTTTTGCCACAAGTCGTGAATTTTTTCAGTAACTTTAGCGGTGAAACTGAGTTGACGAATATGTGACGTGCCGTCAATTTCCCCAAAGTTTATAAGTCATGTAACGCCAGGTGGCGTTCCGTGACGGCACTTCCACCGCTAAATTTAGCATAGCATGCACGAACGGACGGAGGGAGGGCACAATTTTGGGGTTTGGGGGTAGCGTTAAAAAGAATTTCATGCTTTAAAAGTGACGAAAAACGTTACATTTTACTTGCAGAGAAAAGAAGTGTTGCCGTACTCGTTACCTTTAGAGATATAAGTAACGCACGTTAATTTGTATTTATTGATTAAAACCTTTCCTGCTTGAAAGTTACAGCTATGCATAAGTGAAATATCTCAAGAAACATAATATCTATGCAGAAACTTACCTCAAGCATCAACTTGAACATTTACAACTAAACATTTATTCTGAAAGAAGACGGAATTTAGTCTTGCGCAAGAAATGAACTTCCCAAAAATTCTAGGATTAGTTTTAATCTTAGAAATACAATAAAACCCAAACCAAAGCCGACTGATATTGAATAAACAACATAGTTTTAATAAAATCAGTAAACTGTCAGCTTGAGCCTGTTTCGCCTTTTTCACAAGCAGTCAGAAGGCCGTTGCGATCGACTTTAGGAAATAATGAACCATTCTTAATCAAGCTTGTCTGAAACAAGCAATGACCGGCGTATATTTCAATATTTTAACAGGAGGTCTCAGATGATTCACCATTCACGTGTGATCCGCAGGTCCGCAATCGTGACCACCCGTGGTGGCTGCCTACAATATCGCCTCCAGTAGTGATTATCGCGATGGATTCGCGATCCGCTGACATGTGAACCTAGATGCCGCTACAAAGGCTATGGTATGGAAGGCTTGGTCTCGTATTACAGTACGAGCTGGTGTTCTTACACAGCCCCTACTCCACGCTTCCCCCTCCCCCACTCCCTTCTCCACCGTATACCACAAATATATTAAACCAGACATCATCCGCAAAATTAATAAGAAACGCTGCATATTACTATACAACTCACGCAGTATAGTAGGGAGCGTTTGCTCTCGGATTCAAGTGCTATCCCAGCGACGCTGTTGTTCGTTTGTTCCAGTACTCCGGCAGCCAGTGGTTTATAGGTCTACGAGTAGAATTATAATGCCTTTTTGATAATAAAATAATAGTTTGATGAAATATTGGGTAAACACTCTCAGGGGTAGGTATTTAGTGCATGGTAAACCCCCTTTTGTCAGTGGTTCGAGATTTTAAAGGAACCTCAAATGGCCTGTCTCAAGACCACTGGGCCTGCGCACTTATAACATTGCATATGTTTGTGGCGGTCGAAAGAAGCAACAGAAGGCAGTAAACAAGAAACGTCTCCGACAAGCCTCAGTGTACCTTTGCACATAAGAAAGACCATTGCGACATGAACACGCGCTTCCCGAGTTTCGCGCTCTCACCAACCGCCATTCTATTCCAACTGATCTCGGCAGCCGATCAGCTAGCTAGCTCCGAATTCAAAATAATGATAAAATAGATTTTTATATAAGTAGCATGAAGGTCTACGTGCTTTCCGCGCGACATGTTAATCACCATTTTGTTTTTATTTTCCCACCGTAAAATTGGAGTTTTGAGGTTTCTTTTCTTCTTTTTTTGATAAATCCGAGTTGCCAAAACCGTATTCATGTTTTAGAGCAGTTCTTCGGCACACGCCAGGATATTACTTCCTCGAGATACGACACTGTGCACGTGTTACGAAGAAGCTTGGTGCGCAGGGCACATAACACTGAGAACTTTCTTTAATTTCGGCAGATAGTTATCTCCTATTAAAGAAGTAATGAAAGGACTAAGTGTGACCTTTTAGCCGGAACGACCTATACGCAGAACTACACTCGTATATTGGGAGGAGGGGGGGGGGGGGGTTACATGTAAAGAACCTTTTGGTGGCCTCAGAGCGTGGACAACTTTTCGCTGAGACGCCCTCCAGAGTCTGAGAAGCTAAGCCGATTAGCGAGACATTGGCAGCCGCTCCGATTCTCGCAGGAGGTTCGTTCTCAAGTTATTTCTATCAGGTTTAACTAGTTCCGTATCTTGTTTAAACTTTCAGATACTTTGGTTCAGAATTAGTCAGAATCGATTGTCCAATAAACAAAGGAGGTCCAGAGAAAAATGGCAATTGAAGTTCTGAAAAATGAAAGACGTATGCAAATATCTGTAACGCAAATGTAGAGCGCAGCTCTTGAGGAGGAGGACGGGAGAGAGCGGACCCTACTGAAAAAAACCATTTGAAATTTAAACGGGTGGCAAACTGGTCGACCCGTTTAAATCAAACGGGTGCAAACTTGTCGACGCGTTTGGATCAAACGTGATAATGGGATACGAGTAGCCGTTTGAAACGGTACCCGCTCTAAACATTACCCGTTTGATACAGGTGCCCGTTTGATACGGGTGCCCGTTCGACCTTGCACATGACCACACGTTTGAACGTGCCATTCGAATCGGGAAATTACGCGCTAGCCCTAAATGGAGATCGTCTTGTAGGTTGGATATCTTAAACTTATTTAAGACGTTCCGAAAACTCATAAACCTATTTATAACACGGAGGAAACACGTAGAACAAATGTGCTCACGTAGGTCCTTGCAAATGGACAGGAAAAGAGACACAAAAGATTGTTTTCAATTCTCCTCAAAGTTTATTACGTCTTCTGTAGACAAGTACAAACGTGAGAGCGATCTGTGAAATGTGAGAGGCACTCTAAGCTTTTATACAACTGATAAGATAGCAAAGCAATCAAGAATCGAGGTAATTCTAGAATATGAAGGTAGACTTTCGGGAAATTATTCGTCCGGCTGCCGCGAGAATAGTGGCTGCATCATTATATAGATAATATAGAAGAGTACGAGTAGAAGAACGGTCAATTGTTGCCAAGAAGTAGGTTGCAGTGCACTCACCATAAAAATATTTGACTTGAAAGATGTAATCCGTGATATTTTTCGACACGGTCAAAGCAGGACAAGCACACAAACACAACCGAGAGGGAACGGCTGCTTGGAAGTTTCAACAGGATGTGGCGCACAAGCTGTCATTTGCCGAACCCAACCAAACTGCAAGAATTTCTGACTTCTTTGAAGAATCGCTTGTTGCCGATATACGCGTAGGACTTTTCGAATACTGATAGCTTTGGTGCACATCCAAAACGTTGTCGAGAGACATCCTATACTTCGTTTCAGCTTCCGTCCGAGCGCAGCCAAAGGCTGAGGGACGGTTCGCAACATCGAGAAGAGCATTCCTACGCACCACCAAATAGTCCGCAAAAGTAATTTTTTTTAAATAACTGTTTTGTGCGTAAACATTGCACAATATTCCAGATGTGTACTGCTGAGAATGATTTGGAACTAAAGGAATT